ACAAGAAATTAAAAGGGGTTTGGCACAGTGGATAGAGCGTCGGCCTGCTGACTGAAGGGTCCCAAGTTCAATTCCAGTCAAGGGCATGTACCTTGGTTGTGGGCACATCCCCAGTAGGGGGTGTGCAGAAGGCAGCTGATAGTTGTTTCTCTCTCATTGATGTTTCTAACTCTATCTTCCTCTCCTTTCCTCTCTGTAAAAAATCAATGATATATTTTTAAAAAAAACTTAATCTGAGATTTTCTGTGTTGATTTTTTTTCACTTTTCCTATGTATGTGCATAATTACCTATTTCTTTCATATTATTTTTCTCACTAAGCTGGATAGTCCATAAAGAGGAGTCTAATGTGGACTGCAATGTGTTAAATTGCCATATTCACTTATTGCTTGGCCCTTGGATGGTATTTATTGAAAGAAATTATTCAAACTAAAAACATTCTCAATATTGCAAGCAAATGGACTCAACCAGAATTAAAGAATGAGTGCTATTCTCTGATAATCACTGCCCAAGACAGTGATGGCGAACCTTTTGAGCTCGGCATGTCAGCATTTTGAAAAACCCTAACTTAACTCTGCTGCCGTGTCAGAAATTTTTTGATCTTTGCAACCATAGTAAAACAAAGACTTATATTTTTGATATTTATGTTATATATTTAAATTCCATTTAACAAAGAAAAATCAACCAAGAAAATGAGTTCGCGTGTCACCTCTGACACGCGTGTCATAGGTTTGCCATCACTGGCCTAAGATTTAAAATCCTTTCTCTCTGTAACCCATTTATAAAACTCAGTCACAATCATCTATTTAAAATGTAAATCCAATAAGTACATCTTTTAAATCTCTCATTTCTGTCTTTGGAGGTATTTTTCTGAAGGAGAAACCATAAATCTCATTGCACTCCTGTTATCCTGCGTAATCAATACTACCCCACCCATTACCCAAGAAGTCCCAGTGTGGAGGGACGTCTATTTGGAGGGGCATCTATTTATGCCAAGTTGTGTACTGAAACATGGGATTTAGAATTTAACCCAACAAAGTCACTGCCCCAGTTGGTTTTCATCTGGGAAGAGTTGGTAGACTAATGCACGGCTCATATGGTGGTAGGGATAAGTAAGTGATGTGAGAAACAGTTAGGCCAAGACAGAGACAGCGAGAAAGAGAGGAGTGATGGAGGGTGAGAGATTAAGAGGCATAAAAAAAGAAAATATATACAATTATTGATGCCAAAGAGATTAGGGAAGAAATAACTAATGATATCTGATTACAGAACTAAATTTATTGATTTTGTTAATCCTCACCCAAGGATATTATTCCATTGATTTTTAGAGAGAGTGGAAGAGGGGAAGACAGAGAGAAATAATGTGAGAGAACCACAGGGGTTTGTTTCCTCCTGCACACACCCCAATTAGGGCCGGGGCCTAGTAGGAGCCTGCAACTGAGGCACTTACCCTGGACTGGAGTCAGACTGCCCTTGACAATCAAACCTGGGATCTTTCGGTTTGCTGACTGACGCTCTATCCACTGAGTCAAACCAGCTAAGGCCTAAATTTTTGTTTGAATGACCAAGCACATTATATGTAAAAAATTTTCTAGTTAAGGGCATGTGCCTGGGTTGCAGGTTCCCTGCCCCTTTGGGGTGCATGCAGGAAACAAGCAGTTAATGTGTCTCTCTCACATCAATGTTTCTCTCTCTCTTCCCCACCCCTTCTTCTACTTTCTAAAATAGAAGTGGAAAAAGTATATCCTCAGGTAAGGATTAACAAAAGGAAGAAAGAAAGAAAAGAAGGAAGGAAGGAAGGAAGGAAGGAAGGAAGGAAGGAAGGAAGGAAGGAAGGAAGGGAGGGAGGGAGAAAACTGTTACAGAAACCTTTTAGGAACAAATGATTATTCCCAGTGCTTGTCCTTTGAACACCTAAATTTGATCTGATCTTAAACCAGGAAAGAATGACTGATACCTCACAGTGAATTACCACCACCTTGAGTCTATGATCCCACCAAATAAACTCCTATTCCCAGCCTGCAGCTTTATGGGAATTACTGACTCTGTTCACTCAGCAACTGGCACATACTCTGCTACCATAGATTTAGGTAAGTCTGCTTTGTTAATGCCTATGTCCACAGTCTCAGCTGCAGTTGGCCTGCGCCTCCAAAGGGAGAGGACACACCTTTACCTGGTTCCTTTCAAGGAAGCTCAACATTACTGCCACTGCACAGAGCTTCTGTAGGTGGGGTCTGAGCTGTGTTCACTTTGCCCCGGGAGCTGTGACATTACATTAATGACATTCTCCTTTGTGGACATTTGTTTGACCTTTAGGAGATAGATTGGAAAGAGGGGCTCACACAAACTGGATGTGCCACTGCCTCATCCATTAAGCCCTGACCTATTGGTTACATTTAAAAAATCTTTTTAGTAAATAGGTCACTCCCTTTCTCAAAACATGAAGAACTAGCTCTAGTCCCTCTCAGCACCCACAACACTGTCTAGATTTTTTTGGTGTTTGGAAGGTAAGGTATTCCTAACTTGAAGAGCCCATTTATGCTGTTACTTTTGTGGTACCCCTACCATCGAAGTCTCTAGACGAATAGATAGCCATACAACAGGCACCTGGAGTGTCCTCAGAGACACCTGAACTGTAGAGGCTTTACTATAGAGTTAACCATTAATCCTATGATGTAATTTCTTTCCTTTTTTTAAAAGTTATATTGCTTACTAAATGCTTATGCATTTTATTAATCTTGTCCAAAAACAGCTTTTTAAATTTTTCTTCCTTGATTTCCCACAATTATATTGATTTCCAATTTTTATTATTTAATTCTGCTTGCTTTTTAAAAATGATGTTTTTATTGACTGTTTAGAGAAAGAAAGGTAAAGAGAAAGATAGAAACATCCATGAGAAAGAAACATTGATTGGCTATCTCCTGCTTGCCCTCTCCTGGGGAATCGAACCAGCAAGCTGGGCATGTGCCCTGACCAGGAATCAAAATGACCTTTTGGTGCATGGGACAAAGCTCTACTAATTGAGCCACAGCAGCTGGGCTGCTTGTTTTGAGTTTAATTAGCTTTTTTTTTGTTGTTTACTAAAATGAAAACCTACATTATTTGATTATATATCTTTCTCTTCTAATGTATTTGTTCAAAGGCACAAATTTTCCTCTAGGCATTGCCTTTGCTGCATCTCACAGTCTTTGAGAAGTTGTAATTTTATTTTATTTAGTTTAAATCATTTTTTATTTCTCTTGAGACTTTTTCTTTGATCCCATGTATTATTTTGAAGTGTGTCATTGAATATTAACATACATGAATGTTTACGAACTCTCTTGCTATTATTGATATTTAGATTAATGCCTGTGGTGTGAGAGCTTCTTTTATGACTTCTGGTCTTCCAAATTTGTTAAGCTGTGTTTAATGTCCTGGAATATGTTGTCTTGGTGAAGGTTCCCATGTGAACTTGAAAAAAAATGTGTATTCTGCTGTGACTATATGAAGTATTCCAATGCTTTAAAATTTTAAGGCACAGATTTTAAACCATAGGTTTTAATCACCAATCACAATTTTATAATTGAATTTTGTTGTTACATAGCAATGTTCAGATCAACTCTGCTGTAATTTTGCTGCTGTAATTTGTTATAAGGGGTGTTGAAAGATTAAAATGTCCCAGATGCTGTGAGCAGGTGAACAAATTTCTTGACTCAGGACCTAGTGTCAGGGCCAAGACAATGAGCCAGCTGCTGTGGTTCTCTCCATGTAAAATCTTCCCAAACAACATTTCCTTCTTAAAAATCTAAGGTTCACTCTAAGCAAGTCATCCAGGTCGTTTTTAGTAACAGATAAGGATGCAAGTAGTATAGGTACTAATTAAATTATAACTAGAGGCCCTGTGCATGAATTTATCCACTCAGGGGGGTTCCTCAGCCCAGCCTGGGCCCTCTCACAGTCCAGGAACTCTCGGGGCTGTTCAACTGCTGCTGAAGTGAGAGAGACTCCCCCTACCTCCACTGCACTCACCAGCCCTGAGCCTGACTTCTGGTTGAGTGGGGCTCTCCCTGTGGGAGTGCACTGACCACCAGGGGGCATGCTGCTCCTGCATTGAGCATCTGCCCCCTGGTGGTCAGTGTGCATCATAGTGATCAATCATTACACCATGCAGTCAATTTGCATATTAGCCTTTTATTACATAGCATGTCTTATGTGTGAATTAGAATTTTGGCAAAATAAAAAATATCCTCACATGAGGTTTAAACAACAACACATAATAATTAATTAATTAAATTAAAACAAAGATACAATTTATGTTAGAATGAGATATAATAGCAAGTTCACGGAAGTCAGATTTGCATGATAGAAGTTCCCCTTCACTGCTGCAGGCCTGGAGTCCCTGCAGTCTTCTGTAGGCACTTATCTGCTGGGGCTTCTCCAAGGTCTCCTCCTGCCGCCTGCGCCTGACCACATTGTCAGGATGGGCAGTAACCTTGGTGACGGCACTTTTAAAAATGCAGCTGGTCAGCCTCATTGGATGTTCAGTCCTTTCCCGACGTCTCCGTTTGCTCATGGCTAAAACCAGTTGTCTCTTCTTCGCTAAAGTCTTGGGCATCATGTTTCTCTGGAGCTTTCCCTTTGAAAACAAAATGAAATGTAAAGTTTGAGTGAAGTGGGAGAAAAAGACTCCCATTGCATTTGAACCCTCCACCTTTCTCTCCTTTTGGAGAAGTGTGTCTGTTCATCACAGTCATCGGGAAAGTTGTTGAAACTCAGTTTTGTGGACCTCAAGCCAAGTAGGACTGGGGCAGGACCAGGAATTTATATCCCCAAGTGTTCCCAGCTGATGCTGCTAGCACAGGTACTGCACATTAACAGCCAGATCCCGGGACATCAAGCTGATATGAGCCAAGAACAGGAGAATCAAGGTCATTTCCAGACCTGTTTCAATTCCAGACCATTTCATCCACCAACTTCTTCAGAAAATGTTTCCATGTTTGTCAATGTCCACTACACAGATGCTGATATCCTCTAATGGTGGGTAGAGCCTAACCCAGTGAAGTCATGTGCCTTTCAACCCCCCAATACCCACGTTCACTTGCACACCCTAGACCAGTGATGGCGAACCTTTTGAGCTCGGTGTGTCAGCATTTTGAAAAACCCTAACTTAACTCTGGTGCCCTGTCACATATAGAAATTTTTTGATATTTGCAACCATAGTAAAACAAAGACATATTTTTGATATTTAGCCATTTAACAAAGAAAAATCAACCCAAAAAATGCGTTCGCGTGTCACCTCTGACACGCGTGTCATAGGTTCACCATCACTGCCCTAGTCCCTTCTTCACTCAGATATTCTTTGGTTCATAATACAGTAAATCCTCAATTTTGTGGACCATGATGTAACAGACTTAGTACTTAACTGACAAAATTCCCAGTCCATATGTCCTGCATGAACCTTTAACACTCTGTTAATTTTAAAATGCTTTTCACCAAGATTTGTTTATAATGATATCAACAGGTTTTATTTTGTAATTAATTCAGTTATTTTTAAATAATTTTCACTATTGATTTGAGTGGAAGGTGGAGGGAGAGTGACATAGAAACATCAATAATGAGAGAGAATCACTGACTGGCTGCCTCCTACAGGCCCCACACTGGGGATCAAACCCACAATCCAGGCATATGACTCAACTGGGAATTGAACCATCACCTCCTGGTTCATAGATTGATGCTCAAGTACTGAACCAAGCAGACTGAGCCACTGTTATTTTTAACAAATTTTGGTGAATAGGCCAAAGGTTGGAAAAAACACTGTAGCAATTTTACTAAAATAAATAAGTATACATGTCTACAACTATAGTCTTCAAATTTAAATCCAAAAGTCACTGCTGGTCAATAGTGTTCAGAGAATGATTAGCATGTGATCACAC